CTCCAATTACTATATATCATCTTGGATTTTCTTGACGAATCACCATATATGAAGGGATATCCTGCGATAAATACGAATTGCTGACCCCTGTCGGGCTACGACCTATATAGATAATAGATACTAGCGCGGATCTAGCGCCATCTACAGCCGGAAGCGCTGCGGCAACTCGAATTTCGAAATCATAATGAAATCTGCCTTTTGCGAATTGATTGGACCTCTCAAGAAGAATAGAAGTTCTTCAAAGATTATTTCTCATGGTCAAGTTGGACGCTCGCATGATATCAATTGCTTATACAGGAAACCTAGCGCAGATCTACCGCGAATCTAGCGCCCCCCTGCAGAAAATACGATTTACCCTGCGTGCCGCCTCATTACGAATAGGATAATCAAATCTCATGATAGTATTCAAGGTCTTTTTATATGATCTTCCTTCAAAGGTATTTTTGACCATTGCCCAGATATCTTACGGAGTCACGGAGGTCTTGGAAATGTCATTTTCCTTAGCCTTGCTAGGCTAGCGGAGTCCTATTTCAAATTTGGAATTTTCTAAAGTTTCAGTAGAAGCCCGAGGACTCCAATATAGGAGTCTAGGGGGGAAGAGGGGGGACAAACCCGAGCGGACGAGCCCTATCTAAGCTCTAATAGAATTTTTCAAACATCGCAATAGAATTCCAAGATCTCGTCCTATATATAACAATTTGCCTCCGATCACGCCCAAGAATTCAATTTCCTATAGATAAATCAGCAATAAAGAAATCAAATATTAATAGATAAATCATCAATAAAGAAGAGAAAACAAGCAAGATGGGATGAGAATCTGAAATAGAGACGAATTAGGATCATTTGATAAATCCTAATTCGTATCAGAAAATTATGTGGAATATGAATTCATGAGTATCAAATCTAAAATATCGTATAATTATATTTTTTCCTATTCAAATATGATATGATTATCTCAGCAACAGACCCCAATAGCGATGGAAGAACACAGCGATTTTCTTTCCGTCGTTAATTACGCTTTACGAATCTTTTATGCGAGATTTCTTATCTAGATTATTGGAAAGGAATTTAGAATAATAATGACAAATGCTTTCGACGTCGTTATATCTTTTGTAAATCCGCCGCATCCAAAAATATATTTATGGACTCCTGCGTTCGTACTCCGTACGTCCTTCGCTGTAGGCAAAGCAGGGGTAGGTTAAGCAAGGACTAAAGTATGCTAATTCGCGTATCAGGGAAGCATGGCAGAGGGGTGGCTGCTCAAGTAGGAGCGAAATTATATTAAGTTGCGATCAGGGAAGCAGGGGCGGATGCTTAAGCAAGAGCTAAATCATATTAAATCGCGTATCAGGGACGCATGAAAGAGATGGGAGCTTAAGCAGGGGCTAAATTGAGTTAAGTGGCGTATCAGGGAAGCTATTGCGCAAGCTCCCGGAATCCCGGCCGCGTCCAAAAGAATATTCATGGACCGCTGCGTTCGTGCTCCGTGCGTCCTTCGTCGTAAATAAAGCAGAGATGGATACTTAAGCAAGGACTAAATCATACTAAATCGTGCAATAGGGACGCATGGAAGAGATGGAGGCTTAAGCATGGACTAAATTGCGTTAAGTCGCGCATCAGGGAAATTATTGCGCAAGCTCTTCCGGAATCCCCGTCGCGTCCAATAAAATATTCATGGACCGCTGCGTTCGTGCTCCGCGCGTCCTTCGCCGTAAGCAAGGCAAAATAGATCTGGATGCTAAAGCCAGGGCTAAATCATACTAAGTCGCGCATCAGAGAATACGAAGAATTGGGAATTTAAGTAGGGATTTAGTTCTAATATATCGTTCATCAGGGAAGCTGTTGTGCAAGCTCATCCGGAATCCCCGCCGCGTCCAAAGATAATTGCTGAATTCGTGCTCCATACGTCCTTCGGCGTAGCCAAATGGGTCGCCTGCGTTTCGAACTACATATACGAAGAAATCGTAGAATTTTCTGCGTGAATAAAGAGATATCATGCGACCAAAAATAATTATGGCCTCGTATCGTAAGTCTATGATCTCTCTCTATGCGCATAGAAATATATTTTTATAAAACGATTATTGCGATCTCGTGCCGCTTGATAGATGAATGCGTGTAAAAATATTGTATTTTCGCCATGGAGGCAAATTTGGATCGTAGTCTACGCGTAAGAAGATATAGATCTCAATTATGATCATTAAATAAATTCATGCGATAAGAAATTATTGGATTCTCAGGTTGCGGGCGTATTTGGATCTCATTCCGTATATAATGAAATATCTTCATATAAAAGATTATTGATTTCTCATATCGCTAGCGTATTTAGATCTCTCTCCATATATAAAAGAAATATATTTCATATATCAAAGAAATGATTAAAAATTATTATATTTTCACGCTATAGACGTATTTGGATCTCATTCCGTGCGCAATGAAATATCTTCATATAATAAGATTATTGCGTTCTCACGCCGCAAATATATTTAGATCTCTCTCTATGCGCAAAGATATATATTCTTATGAAAAGATTGTAATGATCTCATATCGCTCCGAAATATAGATGATTTGAAATTCCTAAATCATATCCAATTTCTCCAATAATCATACGTGTATATGTGACTTATTTTCTTCGGGAAATCATTATCCGAAACTTAGTCATTGCGTCTTTATTTATAGATCCTAGATCCCAGGGATCCGTTATTGAAGAAAAATAATATATATTTTTTCGAATAAATTAGTTGCCGCCCCTGGTCGATCTCAAATGAATAATAATCATATCATTATATAATTTTTTTCCTATAATATCATTATTATTGATTTTTTGTATAATCTACATCTAACGAAGAAATCTATATCGAATATATTCATATATATATATATTTTTTTAATAAAATCTATTTCATAAGTCATCGATTATTATATGATATACGATCTTTATTTAAATAAGCTCTATGCAATTAGATAATAAAAAATTACGGAATCAATTGCCATTTTCCAATTTCGAAATCTTCATTATTATTATCGATTTTGAGAAATATATTATCGTTTTTCTAATCACAAATCTTATATTATAAATCTAAGACCTATCTTTTATATATTTCTTATATCCGATAAAAAAATCGTATCATATCAAATAGCTTCTATGATATACCAATCTATGAGATCATCATATAATTTATAGAATAAAATATCCGATTTGAATGAAATATTCAAATCTCCTATAATTATGATATTTTCGGAAAAGAATAAAATTATTCATTATTAAAAAAACCGAATATAATATCAGAAAATCGATGAAAAAATAATCGATTCATAAATTATTGCATATTCAGATAAATAACGAATATAAATATTTGAAATATTCCCAAAAAAAATATCATTTTCAAATTCAATATATAAATCTCAAATGAAAATCATAAATGAATCGATAAAGATAGATTTTAATTCATATAAATAATCATGAAACCTATAGATTAATATAGATATCCAAATATATCGTCTTCTTTTTTTCTCATTAATAATCTAATTAAAAGGATAGATCGAATTTCAGATCGCCGATTTTTCTTCTTCAGATCATTAGACGCAAATAATAATAGATAAGATTGATGAATAAATAGAAGAGGCGGACGACCAGATTTCAAAGAGAATTTTCGATTGTCAGCGCAAGAGTTCGATAAATTCATCAGAAAATAGATGGTCAAATCGGAAAATTGACAATCTTATTGATGGCTTCAGGATCTAAAAGACCGTTAGATTCGCAGACCGAAAGACCATGAGAACGACGGACCAAAACACGGGGAGATGGATAGACCCGCTTGACGACTGTCATCCAATTCACAGAACATTCATCAGAGGTCGAGAGTTCGAGAATTTAGGTCGGACGTGCTTGTCCACAGAGATACAAGAGCTCTCCAAAAGAATGGAGAGCACGACCTGCACCACCGACCGAGCCGCCGCACAAATAGCCAGAGAGAAATAAATGAGGCAGGGAGGGGGCCGCGCGCGCGACCAAAAAACTCCAACATTTTTGGTCGCACCCCCTGACCCAAAATCTAGAGATTTTAGAGCCTCTAGCTTTTCCGAAGGGCCGTAAACTTCGAGAATTTTAGAGCAACTGGGGAGCCCGCGGGAGGCATTTTAAAGGAGAGCCGGAAAAGCTAGGCCCCGCGCGAGCGACATGGCCGCAAGTGGCCCGGCCGTTTCATTGAGATAGCTTTCAAGGCCCCAAGAACACCAATAAAGATATAATGATTGCAGTTTTTTGTAAAATTGAGCCCCGAGACCCATCCAAATCGGACCAACAAAATTTCAAGTTTTGAGAGGGCGCCGGAAAATCTTAGATTGGAGAAAGAGAGTCCCAATGACATTGATGATGGTGGCCTCTTGCGACAGCATCCTCAGCAGCATTGGGGCATCTCTCCATCGGGAGGTATAGGAGACAGGCTGGAGGCCAGGGGCCGTTCTCCTCAACCTTTCGAGCGGCTAGAGGATTTTCCTTATTTGAATTTGTATTAGATCACGAAGAATGAGGTAGCCCGGTTGGTTAATCGGTTCATCCGAAGGGGCTTATTTGAAGCCCTAGACCCAGGCATGCCTTTGCACTGCTGCTTCTAATTTTTGCTGTCGCTCAACAACGCAGATTCCAAAATGCACGGCAACCTTGATCTCTAACGTGCAGTTATATGAACCCCGCTGAGGGATGAGTCCCCGGCTACTTACAGGGAACAGTGGGGACCCAAACTCACAGGTCCATTTGCTCCAGAGCCCCCTAAGTAGGACCCCGTAGGCAAAACGCCCTTTGGAGGTTCATAGCTTGGACCGACGTAGCGGCCCTTGGCTTACACGCATTCAGGCATTCTGCTTGGGCCCCTGATGTGAGCGAAACATGGCAGAGCTGTAGTGGTAGGGTGGCAGAGGCTCCCAAGACGCTACTTGGTTTCTGTAATCAAGCCCCAAGATGGCTGGAGAGGGGCCCGATCTCAGCTACGACTAACCCACTCTCACATAGTTGGTGGTTCCCATCTCGTCTCGTTCGTCGACCGGTTGAAGTAATACCTGGCTCGGTGCTTGATGATTCGCAGCGAGGAACCATGAATACTTGTACGCGTGGCCCAAACGAGCCAGACTGGCGGCTTGCCGCTGCTTGGATCAGTGGCTTGCTCCCAGCCAGGAGGCAGAGAGCTTCCAGCCTGTCTGCTTTGGGGCTGCCAGGTGTCTGATTTCTACATGGCCAGTCTGAATGTCTCGGCCTGGGGTGCCGGGGGCGCCGCAGCCGGTGCTGCCGGAGGGGTCCAGCTGGTCTCATTTGTTGTCCGATTAAAGTAATAGGTCTTGCCACCTTAGGTGAAGCAGAAATCTCTGCAAGGCTGTATGTGGCGCGCATGCATGACATGGATCTTTGCAATCTTTCAAGATTTGGGTTTGGTTTCCAAACAAAGGCGCCATGCCCTTTCAACGCTCTTGGGCTGCTGCTATTTGGATCGGTTGTCTGCTCCCAGCCTGCCACGCTGCCAGAAGCATGGATGGTCATTAACTGTCGCCGTGCAACAAAATCTGGTCAGCCCGCAACAAACACGATGCAGGTGCAAACACAACAGGCAAACCTGATCGACACCTGAAGATATCAGTTGAAAGGCCTAGAGTGTACAACACCTCACACTTCACATGCCTTACCTTGAGCCGGTGCAGTGGGCAATGATGATAAAAGCCTTAAAAAAAGTTGCTGACCCTTACCACCCGCGTGTCCCCGGCCTGGGGGAAGAGAGGAGCTGGGTGCCTGCTGGCTCATGGGTGCCTGGCCTCCTGGCAAAGAAGCCAGGCTCTGCACGACGTCCAAGTCATTATCTTGATGTAGCATCTAATGCACGAAGAGTTCAAGATCAACTGCCCGCCTCCGAAGCCACCCTGTTGCGGAGCTCCGTAAGGCGAGAAGCGTGGGTCGTTCTGAGGAGTGCTTGCCTGGCTATGCCAAGCCCTTACAAGTTTGAAAAAAGTGCGCAATGCGGAAGCTGCTCTTTGGATCTTGGGGATGGTTCAAACGTGCCAAATTTGACAAGTTCTTGCAGCCAGAGATGTAGCATGCCATCGACTACCCAAGAAATGTCTGAATGGCGAGCAAGCGGCGGGGCCATAGCCATTGCCAGGCCCACCAAAGCCCTGGCCACCGTATTGTGGACCTTGTCGCGCGCAAGCTTGTCCAAGATCATACTGGCGTACAGTAGCAGGGACCCCCTTACCTCTGATGGCAGTTGTTTGGGCGCACATGGCTCGCGGACGCTTTCACTTTGCGGTCCCAGCATGGAAATGTCTAAATTTCTAACTGCTTTGAAAAGTTGACATGCTTTGTCCCCACAGGAAGCTTGTGGAACATAAGATGATGTGCAGGATATGCTTTTCTCAACGAGGCCTGCTGTGCTACTGAGTCTTGAGTGCAGACCAGGCACAGCCCATGCCACCTCCAAAGCCTTGTTGACCCATGCCGAAACCCCCACCTCCGCAACCACACCCGCCGCAGCCGCCGCAGCCACCGCAGCCCCCGCAGCCACCACAGCAGCCTCCGCAACCCCCGCAGCCACCACAGCAGCCTCCGCAGCCGCCACAGCCGCCGCCAAAGAAGCCAGCCTCACCGTTGTCGAGGCACCAAGATCCTGATGAGGTAATTGCGAGAACCTGTTGTTGCGGAATGGCAGTGTGGTGAGTGGAAATTCAACGTGACGGGAGGCGGAGCGGGCACAGCAATTTCTGACAAGACTGGCCTACATGATGATCAATTCAGCTCAACCCTCATGCTTTGCAAAGTCCTGCTTTGTTCTTGCCCTTCTTCGCGTCCCATTCCACTTCGTACCTCAGCAGATTGGCACTTCAAGTGTCAACACGGCGTGCACGAAACATTCTTATGTTAACCATGTGCAAGGACACTATTAGATCCCAGGTGCTTGACTTTGATACCGTCAGTGAGATTTGTTGGATCTCCACCAGTGAACTGTCGCGAGTGCCTGAGTGAAGCAGTCCGCAGGCTGGATTTGTCCTTTGTTGGGATTCCGTTTGAAGGCTGGCTAATGTGACCCATTGCAGAAAGTTTGGAATTCGGTCGTTGGACTCCAGGCTAAATCGTTGCCTTCCAGGCAATGAAGAAACATGGTAGGATTGGGATAGCCTAAACTAGCCCAAAAGCATAACTCTCGGTGCATCAACCCAGGGTCAATACCTCTCATGGTGAGGTCCCTGCAAACTGTAAGACTAAGCATCCAGAAGAAGGACAGCATGTCAAGTTTATATATATGGAAGATCCAATGACCCATGAAGCTAGCGGATTGAGAAGGCTTTGCGCAGTTGCCAATTGAGCTACGCAAAGAGATCTTCACTGCCATCTGCTGGCTCAATGAACCCGAAGCCTGCCACAAATCAAGTTCATGCTGGCTTCTAGTGCATGCCGCATGCAATGGCCACCATCTGTGAATCCTCAAGCTGTCAAACGCGCCTTTATCGGGGAAGTACTTCTTCAGCACTCCACTGTGCATTACCTTGGCATGCAAGAATAACCCAGTGTTAGAGCTCTCCAAAGCAACCTGGAAACCGAATGCTCCGGCCGAACATGCTGGACACGTGTCGACCTATCAGGGTCTGATACCACAGCGCCCTGGGAGCTCTAATTAAGTGATGCCAAGATATGCTAAGTGCTACTTGCAGCTCTCGGGCAGCGTTGCCACCGCTCATGTCAACCGCCCAGGATGAAGCTCTGTACCTCTGGACGCAGCGAGATGCATGACGAGGCAGGATCGCCAATTTGTTCTTCTGAGTGCGGATTTATGCTGGATTGGTCTGGGATTGAAATCAGTTGTTCACGAAAGCAAAACTGTTCAGCCAGGTGACTTGCCCTTTCGGTCATCCCACTCGGCCTCGCAAACTTCGCACGATGACTATGTGCAGGCTGGCTTACAAACTGAACCCCATGTCCTGCATGAATTTCATGTGACCCTTGTGTAGAACATGTCATCGTGCTCATATGCCCCAGACTGAGTACTGCTCAACCAAAACATGAAATAATGTCGAGGAAAAGAATCTCTCGCAGGCCAAGACTTAGACAACAAAAAACTTGAGATTCTGCAACTATGTTGCTAGCAAAGTAGAAGGTACTGATGGTCCTAACGCTCTTCACAAAACAATAGCTGCCTCATATGTGACGCGCTCGCCGCCCCTAAGGGAATCGCCGTCACCACTGAACTGCAAAGTATGCCTGGCGAGGACAGGTGACAAATACTAGACGGGAATGCGGCACTGGATTCAATTTCTGGCGCAGCAGTGCAGCATTCTGCAGCACAAACTCATTGGGTTTTCAGGGCCGTTTGATGGACTTCGTTAGCGGTGAACTTGAGGGCTGGCTCTCCCAGCAGCTCTTACTTGCGCGAGCAAGTACAGATGCAAGGCTTGATGAAATGCCTGGCGCAGAAACCCTTGGCTCGAAGGATGCCCGTGGCCTCTGGTCATCATCCATCTTCCCGAACCACATATCTTCCATCTGACTATGTAACTCGAGCTTTAAAACCTTTCCTTTCACCTAGAAACACAAAGACCAGTGACCTAACTTGATGCGAGCATGGCGCGCAAAGACGTCGTCGCCACCCTCATCTGGTGTGATGAAGCCGAAGCCCTGCCCGCACAAGAGGTTCAAGGTGACTTGGCCAGTCTTGGTCACGCAATGAGCATCATGAAGTCAGCTGCCAGAGTAGCTACACCTGCGCAACAAAAAGTCGCCTTGTCGGAGACGAATTTCTTCAATTTGCCAGTCGGCATGGGGAGATTGAGATAGACCTCGATGCATCAATTCAAAGCTTACAATTGCGTTGGAATTCTCACCAAAAAATGCATGCTGTGCGCGATTGGAGCAACTTGTCTGTCCAAATTCTCTCACATCCCCTCACATCTTGTATTTGGGGACCCATCTGATGCAAGGTATCCATTGACCGACTGGTGCATACTGATAGGACCCTTGCTCCAGAATCCTGCAATACGTCTATGCTACCGTTAAGGTTCAGGTTGTGCACCTTTTCCCTTTGGCAGCGTTTTAAACCAGAGCTGATCTTGCAGACCGGCTGGCTGCAGATACTGGGCGTCACGGACCTAGGGTGGTGAAACTTGAGCCAAAGCCAAAGCGAGCATCTTCATCAAGGAACTTGCTCTTTACAACTGAATGGCCAACGTATCTCAACAGCACAGAGCTGCGCCTCACCTGCGAATCTCTATGGCTCTAGATCTCCTTGCCTTTAAAAAGTCTGCATTCCATGGCCATGCTCTGCAGCCCTTTCTTTCCTCCGACACGAGTTTTGTTGCAGAAACGCGCCGTGCCGCAGCTAAAACGCGAAGCTGCCCTCTGTATTCACGGAGGATTTGCATACACAACCGAACTTCCAGCTGGTCTTGTAAGAACACTTCTCACTAGCTCTGGAATGCCATCATCACATAATTGCGCTGTCTTTTGTTTGAAACGGGGCGTGTACTTCTGCACCGACTTGGCAAAGGGCCACCTCACCCAGGACGAAATCATGAAACTGTTATCTGCCAATTAGCAGGCACCCGGTCTTCGCAGTTGTGAGAAAATCATCACTGAATCGCTAGCCTGGTTGCAGTCATGCGGAAATGTCCTAAACAAATGCCCATTCATTTACAAGAATGTGGATGCGAACCAGCATCTTCTGCTTGAAGTAAGCAGTCGTTGTTGCTGGTCTTGCCGGCAAACATCCATTCATCCAATGTGCAACCAGGAGCATTCACGGGTGCCCTCGTCATCACTGGAGGCCCATGAGCCCAAGTGGCTCAAAGGGGGGCAGCCATCTGCTAAGGGGCCCAGCGTGAATGCCGAAAGCTTGCCAAGTTGGCAGCCAACACTATGAAACCCCCTGTGTCCATGGCGAGCCATTTACAAAGCAGCAGCTCGCAGCGCCAAGAGTACACGTGAGCACTTTTTGCATCGCTGTGCCACTCGCCATGGGCTCAACGCTGAATGCCAGAAGTTGGGAGCCCATGGAAGCATGGCTCCGAGGCTCAGGGTTGGGGACCCTCTGCGGCTGGCTGCTGCGCATTCTGCCTTAGGTCCAGATGCAATGGACACTCTTGTTATTGCAAGGCCTACAATCAACAAATGATAATTTGGCAGGTACTGAGTCCCCACCTCTGGAATTGAGCACCTTTTGCATGCGCCAGGATGCGTAAGCGGAGCCTGCCGCGCCTGCCGCACCGCGCTGCTGCTGCCAAGGGCAGTGCGGCACAGAGGGCCTCAAGATGCGTGCTACTAGTACACACTTGCACACACAGGACGAGTTCAGGGCTTGCGTGTCCTACACCAACATCGGACAACCCGGGCAACGGAGAGTATCAACACGCGTGCTCATAGTCCATGTCCTTTCAAGACCTCTCTGGTCAGCTGAGACGCAAGTCTGAGCGACGCGGAACCAGGATGCCAGGCAGTCCCTGGCAGACTGCACACTGCGAAAATTTAAAGCAGCATTGAAAAACATGGCCGATTAAAGAGATGTCAAAACTCACTGTCTTGCATCTGGCATGAGCAAATGCAACTCCGCCACCGGAAAATAGCTGCTGTAATTTCACTAGGATTCTGAAATGAGTCTGTCCTGTCACCCCACCTACGCTTGCACCTGCCATAAGAAATACAGAGCCAGCGAGTACTGCTGTATGAACTGCATAGCTCTGCATGAGGCCAGCCCTGGAGACTCACATACCCTCCAAGATACACATCTCGATGAGCTGATCTTGAACCCCTAGTTGGCTACTTCAGGGGCCTGTGGAACACGTGCTTCTCTCCACTGCAAGGCGTCACCACAATGTCCTGGACTTCAAAACACGCACACTTGCGGCAGATGCGGCAAGGATCCCTAGTGCATCCTGGCGCTTAAGCCTCCAAGCCCTCCCTTGCCCGGAAGCCCGTCCGTATCAGCAGCGGAGAAATCAACCAAGCAGATCGAACAGCTCGCAGGGTAGCCGCCCTCGTCTTCAACAAAGTCCTCGCACGGAATTGCCCGCAGCTCTTTTGGCTGAGCATGCGCCAGCTTCTGCTTCAGTAGGGTTGGCGCACTGAACAATCCGTGACCCCCGACAGCACTTGCTGAATTGAGTCCATTTATGAAAGAAGCTCCAGGGACTCAAAACTCAGACAAACAAGCCCCGTGCAGACAGTCGATGATTCTGATGATTCCCTTCTTTCCGAACCCGGCCTCGGCACGAAAGTTAATTCGCTGGAACTCCCTTGTGCGGTTGCCCGGGTCCGGGATGACTCCTTCACCACGCCCAATCAATGGGTTTGCACACATGAACACGTGAGCCATGGAATAGACTGCCGGGCACCCTTGCCACAGCACTCGATGCAAAACGCATGGCGAGGAGTCAGGTACCTGGCGCTACTCTCCCATTCTGTTTTCACAGATGTCGTTTTGCCTTGAACTCCTTCCAGCGTCTTAAATCCCGTATAGACCCGTCCTGTTCGGTAAAGGATCGGCTTCAGACACGGCCAGATGATGCTGATGAAAATGCCAAAGATCTGCGGGCAATGAGGACCCTTCCGGCCCCCACACAGATAGGGCTGCTGAAATGCTATTTCTCTCTCGATCTTTCTCTCCCTCCTTCTCTTTCCTCCTTCTTCTTCTCCTTCTTGTTTTCAGGTTAGATGTCCCCACGCAGCTGCGAGCAGTCCAGGCGGTCCACCGGGCACAGAGGTCGCTTTCTTTCTGTCGTTCGAGCTGCCGGTTGGCCTGCCCCTGGGATCACCATTATGCCCGTGTTGGGCCGTGCCTCAAAAAGGAGACATACCACAAGGGCTCCTTCTTGGTTGCACCAAGACTTTGCACCTATCAGGCCCACAATCACACCGCATCCATCATTTGCTTGGGTTTTTGCGCCCCCTGCACCTGTTGTGGCCTGTATGATTGCAAGGACATCCTTGTTCCATAGGCTCAGCACTTGATTTGGATTATGAGACATCATTTTGTTGCCCGGCTGGTAGCTCCAGTGCTCACCACTGACTGACTCTTCTTGTTGGGTATCAGCTGGAGCTTTGGAAGCTGGTTGACTTTCCCATTTAGTTGATCAGATCACTGTTGGAAATTATGGACCATGCTAGCTGAACTCCCTCCGGTCTTTGGTCTTTGGCTTGGGTGTGGGAGTTACTAGGCGTGTACACTCCCAACTCGTCCGGTCTCCAACTTAATCCCCGCGAAAGGGAAAACTCATTAGTGTTGCTCGACTCTCCTACGAGCCTTAAACAAGAAGAAAGAAAGTCACCGGGTTAAATGGGTAGAGCCTTACATCACTTCTAGGATTCCCATCTAGGGGTCATACTCCTAAATTCTCATCATTTTCACAAAACACAGCAAGAACTCCAAGGCGCATTGGGGTCAACAGTATACAAAGAGCCCTCATCTGCCAAAAGATTGTTGGCATTGGAGTGCCCCCGCTACACTTCACGATTGGGCTGTGCTCCTCTTCTGCAGAAAAAAACAACAACAGCAAACGACATTTTTCAAACAATTCATTCGTGTTCCGCATGCCCTGGCCTCTCGTCCATAGTCTTTCTTCTTTTTCTTCTTGAAGAGCTATGCTGTAGTCTTTCTTTTGCTCTTTCTCTCTCTATCACGTTGGCTGTGGCTTTGTGGGGTTGGGCGCCGAACAGCTGGGCGAGATCGCCCCACCAGGCGTGTCTATGTTGATTCGGTTTGTGAAACTTCGGAGCGGATCGAGGCATGACAAAGATAACTCCTGATGCTACGGGTACTGACTACAAGGGTTCCTCCCCTGGCTCCGGTTATTGACGGCTTGGCATTGCGGTAACATCGGTATGCTAGGGACGCTTTAGAGTGAGTACTGTAAGAATCCCCAAGCCAGCTGCTAGAAGAAATACGGGCGCTCAAGTGCAAAATGCTCAGAGTTCCCAACATTGTGAAAACAGCCTGTGGTACAATGAAGGATTGGGAAACAGCGAGCAACGAGCAAGGAAAGTGGGAGCACTTACGGTATCGTATGCACATGCGTGTTCCCGGGATCTCTCTCCATCTCTACCTTGATCTCTGTGTCTATCTCTCTCCTCCTTGTACACACAGCCTGGGCCGGGTTCTGATGTCTACCAGCACAGCCTGAAGAAGTATGATGCCAGGGCACTTGGATGAAATATGGCGATAGCAGAAGCCAGCCTTGCACAGAAAAGAACATCTCTCAACTGAATCACTCAACCTGAACCATGACTCCAAACAGAAGTATGCAATAGTGGCATATGCCACAACTCCCCGGTAACTGCTCAAAAAGCTCAACAACCCAGGTTAGAACTAAGGCTAGGCCATCCTGAGGCCTCAAACCCCAGCAATCAAATCAGGCTCGTGTTTATTCGTTATGCCTCAGCCAGAAATTGAGAAGAAAGGACAGCACAGAAGGGCCGCTCCCGGTCAAAAACACAAACTTCACGCATTCTGATGATGACCAGGCGGCCCCCTGCCGCCGGGAAGTAGTGAGAGGGCATGTTGCATCAAAATGGCCCTGGAAGGCCTGCGTGCACGCAGCCAGAACGAGTCGACCATTCACCTTTGTTTCCTCGCGTTCAAGTCTTGGCGTCTGGGAGCCAGTGAATGAAGTGGGCGGGCTGGCCTTCGCTCTTGTGTGGCCATGCGCGAAAAACAGCACGTCGGCGGCAACAGCCCTCTGGTCAGTCACCCTTGAAGTGCCTGCGAACGGAGATGAAAGCTCCAGATGACCCCCATCCAGCCCAGCCGCTTGATGGGTCTTGGCCAAAAGAT